TATATATATATATATATATATATAATGTATTCAATGAAAAAATGGAGAGCTTGCTATCTTTTTTACAGAAGACGATGATATTCAACTTGCTTCCTCCTGTCGTCTGAATTTGGTTGAGAAATTTCTATATGGTAATCCCAAAATGGAGCTCATTCGTAAAGAATTTGAACTTATACACATTGTTGGAGAGTGAAAAATTGGACTATCAGATGAGAGACACGTTCTTATTCAAATTAACAATGAAGAAGATTACATGCGCTTATTTGCTAGAAGGATAATCTGGATTGATAATAGAGCAATGAAGTTTCTGAAATGGTCTGTGGATTTTGACCCACAGACGGAACCGCTAATCATTCCGGTTTGGATTCGACTCCCTAGTCTGAAATTTCATTTTTTTTCTAAAAAAATATTGTACTCTATTGCCTCAGCTTATAGAAAGCCACTCAAGACAAATATTCCTACTTTTAATCTTTCTCGTCCATCTGAAGCCAGAGTACTTGTTGAAAGAGACATCACTTCACCCGCTTCTGAGGAAATTTGGTTGGGCACACAACACCATGGATATTGGCAGAAGGTAGAAATTGAACATTTTCCGTCGTATTGTTCGAACTGTCGTATGTTCGGCTACTTTAGTTTTCAATGTCACCATCTACACCCCCATCTCAAACCAAAAAAGCAAAGTGTTTCGCTAGAGGCTATGATTCCATCTCATTCCGACCAGCTCCAAGTTTTTGACACAATTGATCATCAGAAGGATACCCTGGAAGACGTCAATATCCCCGTAGGCAATATGACAATCATTCAGTCCCTAGTTGTAGCTCCCCAGTCTTTGGAAACTTCTATCGTGGGGGAGAAGGAGATTCTTCAGACTACGCCTGCAATAGAACCTATCGCCGACCTATCGCCGATAATATAGTTAGAAATACTTCTACTGCTTCACCATCGCCTCATCAGGTCCATAAATATGTTAATATTACTCAGGCTCATGGGGATCAGGATGTGCAACGACCTACATTTGTCCGACCACCTTTGGAATCTACTGATCAGATGAGTCAATTATCAGATGAGGAATGACAAGTCTACATATCCAGGAGGAAGAAGAAGAATGGAGATCTACTTGAGCTCAGGAATCTGATGGACGATATTTTGGTTACTACGGGCAATGGTACTCATCTTACAAATTTGTTAACCGGTTCACTTCCGAGAACTCGAGGCAGGAGGACTAAAGTGGGACGTCCCTAGCACTTTTGTGTCATTTTGTGACTTTTTGGTTTTTTGCCTTTATGTATCGTTGCTTTATTTGGGTTTTGTGTGTGTTGTATTGTATGAGTTGGACTTTCTTTTAGACTCTCTCATACAACCTTTCTGTATCTTTTCCGTATTAATATATTTGTCCTTGGGCTTTTTAATATATATATATATATAATTAAATTATTTTTATAAACATTACTTTGATTGAGCCATAAATCACGCGACGGTTTCGTCTTCATCCCCTTTGCATATGATTCTGCCTTCACCTTGTGTGATGCTCGGCTTCGCTCTCCCTTCACACGATCTGACTCCGTGCACTCGGTGAGTGCATCGCTCCTCTTCCCCTTTCTTCTTATTCAGCTCATTCGTCAAGATCGAGTGCGCAAGAACTACACTCGCCTACACTGCATGACAGCATTGTTGCCTCCTCTGCTCGACATCGACGCAGCTCCAACTTCTCTCTGTTAACACCACGGCTCAACCCAACAGTATAACCCTCGACGCTGCTATTCAATCCTCTTGGTAAGTTCTTGCCTTCCCAATATAATAATTTATATATATATATATATATGTATATATATATAAATAATGAATTCAATGTACTACACCTTTGTATCGCTTTATCTTCTATTAACATTCATTGATAATTATTAATACCACTTGGTTAAATTGCAAATCATATACTCAATATTTATTTTGCTAATTTTAAAATCATTATATTTTAAATATTTTCATCTTTATTCTTTATTTATTTAAGTATCTCATTTACAAAAAAATAAACATCAAAGTATCTTAGTTTGAATGTCTTTTTTAAGCAACTCCATATGCAACACAAAACATATGAACTTAAGGTTTATATGGGATATAATTCTACTGTGATTTGAAGCTCTTCGGTCAATTTACTTAGGCTAATATTAGGTCAATTTACTTAGACAATTTTTTTTTCATATTGTACACCTAATTAGCTGTGGTGATTACTCTATCATATGTTTTTTTAAGTTGAACTAAAATCTTTTGAAGATCATTTTTTCTGTATATATTTCCATTTGTTTACTTAGCATAGACATTTCTTTTGTAGTGGATCTGGCATAAGCCAACATGATCTTTAATATAGTTCTTAATTTTTATAAGTCTATATTCCACCACTCTTTCATAACTTTATAGCGTGGCTCATCTATTTGCTTCTCTAATCTATAGTGGATCTATCTACTCAAAATGAATATTAGTAATTCAAAATTCTCGTAATATTTTTTTTGTAGATGTCTATGTTTTGTTTACATGGGTTGCACTGTGTTTAATCAGGCTAATTATACCTTGGAATGTGGTAGCAAATTAATTATGTTGGTTTGTTAAGCTATAACCTATATTGAATCAAGTACCAAATTGGCAGAGGTATCCTATTCAATTTTGCTTGGTTTTCCTTCCTCAGGTGTAGGCTAATTTTTCCCTTATTTTGATTATACTCAATATTTTGATGTTTTGGTATTGAGAAAAGTGTCAAAATGACCCCCTGACTTTTTGCGGGAATCCATTTTAGTCTCAGAGTCTATAATGGTGTTACTTTTGTCCCCAAACTATTTTGATGGGGGGCTAAACTAATCGTCTTTGGGGACTATTTCAGCACCGTATCAAAAGAGTGTGGGACTAATTTGACACTTTTATAAACTCTGGGATTAAAATGTCCCCATGAAATAGTCAAGAGACTATTTCGACACTTTACTATTTTGGTATTAGTTAAAGATGTATTAATTGTTACTTTTTATCTATTAAATCTTTGAAGGGTGAAAAGGTATAAGCTATAATTATATTTTATTCGCTTTGTCTTTTCAAAATGTTGAGTACAATGCAATGCATAATGCTTTATTTTTACTTTAACCTATTAAATCTTTGAAGGGTGAAAAGGTATAAGCTAGAATTATATTTTATTCGCTTTGTGTTTTCAAAATGTTGAGTACAATGTAATGCATAATGCTTTATTTTTACTTTAATTAGTAAAATGCAAAGCAAAATGGTGCTTTTAATAGTATTTTTAATAGTATTCTGATATGTCGAAGTTAAATAATATTTGATAATAAACATCATTATTTATGATATTTTAAAATAAGAATAAATTCTAATTATTTGAAAGCAAAAAAAGAAAAAGATCAAAACCATTAAAATTAACAATATTTGTGGGTTGCGCAACTAGCTAGAGGGCAAGTGGTAGAGGCAGTATGAGGTGAGAGAGTGAGAATGTGTGACGAGAAGAACCATCAAGAATCAAATGGCTTCAACAGGAGATGATGGAGAACCATTGAACACTCAACAACTAAGAGAATGAACACTCATGCTTAGTTATTATGATAAATACTGAATAAAAGCATGAAATTTGAACCAAGATTTTATAATAATTCATAACCAAGTACACATTGCTATAATCCTCACTTGTGGGCGTTGTTGCTAGATTGTGGTTCATAGGCAAGTGATGTGTTCAGCCAGCACATTGCTTTGCTTCAATCCTAAAAGCACACTTTTAATTATATTTTTTCAATTTTTTTTTCTTTTTCTATTTTCTTATTTGCTATATGCACGTGGAATTGAAGGAGCCATATTGGAATTATTGGAAAACCTTTCCTCATTACGACTCTTTGGTAGGTTTTAATATTTTGGCTAATTACACCTAAATCCTTGAGATATAGGAGGTTCACACTACTTGAGACACTTCTCAGTAGTCCCTTTCATTTGAAACAGATTTTCTGAATGTCCTCTTTTTGCTAGAGCCATTATATGGGGACAAAAATGTAAGCCCTTCCCTTGTTCTTATCTTTATCTCCTCTCTCTCTATTCAATCATGGGAGCACACAAAAAACTGATGTAGCAGCTGATGAAGTGTACATCTGTGTAAGCTCATACCTGTGAGTTTGTATCAGAAAGCTTTCGTTGGAGAGGGCATAGGAACAAGGGAAAGGAAATCCAACTTTATAGAACCCAAGAGATCTCAATCTTAAAACCATCCATACCATTTATCTCAACCCATACACAGCCGTGAAACTTCCATCAAGGCAGCCACTCCTGGAGCACCTTCATCTCTTGGGGTCCAGTTTCAAATCATATGAGACACTGGGATTCATAGTGGATGATTTTAAAAAAACGGACCAATGTAAAGCATTCTCCAGACCTGAGGGATGTGCCTTTGTCTATCCTTAATTTTTTTTTTCTGTTTTCTTGCAAAACTATTAGGTTAAATAACATGGATCCTTATTCACATTTAGTGTCAATAGTTTGGTGAGAAAGTTTAAAATCAATGCTGAATTGAACTCTTTAACATACAAATTTTAAACGTGATTTGCAACCCAATTTAGCCTGAGATGTTCATTTGATATGTAGTTTATTTGAGTGCATTTGTTTTTGCACCATTTTATCTCGAGTCATCCTCAAAACTCAATTCGCATGACTTGCAACCCATCAAATCAATTTTTTTTAAACTTTTCTCTATTTTTTAGACTAAACTTCTAATATTAAAAAAATGAGAAAGTGTTAAAATGGACATTGCAGGGTTGGTTTAAAAAGAAATCTGTGTCAGTTTTAGCTTCGAAAGATGGGGACAATGCTTCCCTGGAAAGTGTTGTCCTTCTGCTCAAGTCTTTGAAAATCATGGAGAATGCTACTTTTATGAGTGAAGACAATCAGGCTAGTTTTATTAAATAATGCTTATAACTCTTTTGTTTTTATCTCTATCTTTGATTTATATCAATTTTCCAATTCTTGTGACAGAACTACTTGCTTAAAATGAAGCCAAAATCGGAATCTGGAGGAGTGCCTTTGTCCTTTGTTAGTACTATTATCAGTTGCATTAGGTTTTTATCAGGTCTGCTACATGCATGGAACTATATTAAATTAATGGTGTGCTTATTCTAGAGCCATACTTAGCCTTATCTTTTACAGTTACTTATAATTTTCTCTTTTGACCTTGCATTTAGGCCTGACTCTCCGCTCGAGTATTTCTAGCATCTTGGACAATGGGAAATCACCCCTTTCTTCTTCTGGTGCTTGTATGATGGAAAATGTTACAGGTGCATGGTTACTTTATCTGGTTAGATTTTGTCTTTGAAATTTTGTTCTCAACAAAGAAACCATCAATGTTGAATTCTTGTCCATGCTTATCCTATTTCATTGAAACTTATGAAATCTACTTTTATAGAAATTTATTAGTTGTTGTTAACCTGAAATATGTCTGTTATGCCCCGCGACTAAGGGCAATTTAGTTATTTGTTAGTTATTATTATGTGGGGGTGTAAATAGGGCTAATATGTATAGGATTAGGTTATGCTATGAGATTGTGGTCTTGAGTTTTGGGATTAAGGTTTGCGATCTCGCCTACTACTTGAATTATAGGTGCTTATCTTTATGTATTTGTGTTGTGTTCTTTTGTATTATTGAAGAAAATATTTCTTTGCCCTACTTTTTGTGAAAAGTCATCTTGATTTGTATATCAAAATGGTATCAAAGCATTCAATTCTGGGAAGAATAGGTCACGGTGTTGTGGGAGGACAAACCTCACAATACTATCGCCTTTGTGACCTAATATCCCGATACAACCGCGATTTGAGCTGCTGGGAAGCCTTTGGCGGGATATGAACATACAATATTTGTCGTGTTGTCTAAACCTCATGATATAGTCGTGATTTGAGATAGTTGTGAAGCCAAGGGCTAGATCGCGGTTTACAGGTGCATGTGCCTTCATGGGTGAACCTCATGATGTAGTCACGATTCAATTTCTAAGAAGCCAACGACGCTTTCCTGACCGAACCTCGAAATACAGTTGGGATTCAACCTAGCCGGGGGCCGATGGGATCACGACATACAAGGACCCTTGCGATACAGTTGCAATTTGAGAAGCCAACAAGTCAACAATGGGATCACATACATGAATCAAACTTAGTGACACAATCGCTATTTGAGCTAGTTGGGAAGTTAATAATGGGATTGTAGACATGTCATGATTGAAAATTGTTCTGGGAGTAACGACGAAAAAAAAATGTAGATGCTATGGAGAATAAATTAGAAATATAGATGAATCAAATCAAATTTGAAATGCATGGCGTTTCTCGTCTCTGGATTGGTAGTTTTCGTACATGGAGGGGAAATTCACAATCTTGGAAGTGATGTTAAAAAAAATAGCGGAGTTTCACGCAAATCGGTTGCCACTTGCCATGGGATCGAGCTATGATGTCAGGAACGGATGCGAGCAGCCATAAGCAGGATGATTCGTGCAACATCATGGAAGCATATTCGCCTTATGCGAATCTGAAGCCGGGGATTGAACGAAGGAATTAGGGGTGGACTTGAGCAACAACAATTGGAAGGAATAGTGAGAGATCTAAACGGCTGGAACGATCGGAAGCAGGTAGGATTGAGTGAAGGAGTTCGAGCGATAGGGTCTGGAGAGAATGATGCAACATATGGTGGCAACAGGCGGAACGGGTCGACGTGCAATTTGGGACTGGAGAAGATCGCTTCGAGTAATTTTAATTTGGAAAAAAGAATCACTGTGGGTGGGACCCCGACGGAGGGTTGTGTCCAACTGTGCCAGTGCCTTTTATTGTGGCCTCCCATGTGGAAGGTTATTCAGGAGTAATGATGGGAACAAGACGAGTGAAGAAGAGCAGAGGAGTTTGTAAGGGACTGATTAGACAATGCAGAGTATTCAAGAGGGAGACGAAATGGTGGTGCTTTGTGTTGACTCTCATCTGTGCAAGTACTTGGTGTTGATAGATCCATTGAAGATGGCGAGCGACCACTACGTAAGATCATGAAGGGGTTGAGAGGATTTTTTAGACTTACAAGATACTACCAAAAGTGAATGCTTGCAGTTCGATTGAGTGACCATTGAGGGAGAAGTTAAAGAATGATAACTTTCAATAGTGGAAAGCGGCGGCCCAGACTTTTGAGAAGTTAAAGATGGCCATGATGAGTGTGCCAGTGTTGGCTTTAATTTATTTCAACCAACCTTTCATTATAGAGATAGATGTTTCTGGCTATGGATTAGGCGCAGTCCTCATGTAGTGTCAGCGACCTATCACTTTTTATAATCAAGCACTGATTGCAAGTGTCAGATTCAAGCCATTTTATGAGTGTGATCTATACGTCGTGAACTAGAATAAGGCGACGACGTCTAAGGGCAATTTAGTCATTTGTTATGTTGTGAGATTGTGGGGTTATAAATAGGGCTAATATTTTTAGGGTTAGGCTATGCTGTGAGATTGTGGTATTGAGTCTTAGGATTAGGGTTTGGGAGAGATTCTCTACCTCTCGAATTGTAAGTGTAGGAGAGATCCCCTACCTCTCGAATTGTAGGAGCTTATCTTTACGTATTTAAGTTATGTTATTCTGTGTTAGTGAAGAATAATCTTTATTTTATCCTATTTTTTTGTGAAAAAACATCTTGGTTCGTTTCAAGTTCATGTTGCTTGTAAAAGTCTATTGATAAAAAAATCGCCAACTTGAAGTGGCGATTTGTCCTCTCAAAAATCAGAAGCATGAAAATGCACATCATTATGTGAGCCTATGTGGAGGGTTTGAAACTGCCTATTTTCTATTTTTACATTTGCACGAGCATGCACTTTTTCTTTTGATCAGTTATTTTTTAAAATGTCATGTATTTGGGCTCTCTTTGGTTGATTTTTGTCTCACTTATGGGAAACAGTAACGCAACTTTTTCATGCCAACCAATTGTTTTTAGATTATTTATTATTCTCAAATCTTTCTCATTCGCAATCCACTTTATCACCGATGTATCTCGAAATTGCTTGGAGGGTACTATGTTGCAAATTTTCCCTCATTCAAGTAAAGTCTTGCATCAAATAATTTACCATTCATCCAATGTATCATCAAAACTTTCAAGGTTTCCTGTTTTACAGCATTAAGGAATTTCATTTGGGTACACTTTCCTTTCTGACTTCTTACTGGGCAACTGTTGGTTTTTTCTTCCCATTCTTTGGGCCATAGTTTTGAAGTTGAACCTAAGGACATCTTTATGTCTAAACTACATGTATAATTTAAATCTACTTTTAAATGCAGAGCTGAGAAAATTTTGTTTATTGAACTTGTTGAGTCAATTAATGAATGCATAAAGTGCTTCCTGAAAGCAAAAGTAAGAAGCGATGCCTGTTGAAGATTATAAATTGATTGGACAAAATGATGAAATTTCTAACAATAATAAAACTAAATTGACATTGTAATTAATCCTTGATTTCTTGATATAAATTCATAGAGAGAGAATTGTTAAAGAAACAAGAATGCTATCAGTAATTCAATAAAAAATGCTAATAATAATGCCCTAACTAATGTCAAAATTTTAAAATTTAGCTGAATGAGTGGGTAAATCACCTTTATTTAAAAATTAAATTCTCTGAGTTAGCTTTTTTAAGACGAGTTTATTCGTCAATATCAACATTTCATAACTGTATAACTCACATGTTTTCAATTTTTTTTCTTATTATTATGTAGGAATAATTTATAAATTATTGTTAGTATCCCTTGAAGATGCATATTGAATAATATTTTTATTATTTTTTTCCATATCATTAGCTTGATCTATATTTTTTGTTTTAATTGCACAAAGAAGAGACGCACAAATAACTAACAGCTAATTTTGATAATAATAACTCATGCTGATGTGAACATAATTAATCTCTTAGGAATAACTTATTCATTCCTTCGAGCTCATCAATATGTATATGTGAGGGCTTAGTAGTCTTTTTTATAGTATAATAGGTTTAATTTAATCATATTTCCTTGGTGCTAAATCAAAGTTTATTTAGAGTTAGGATCTAAATTTCTTATGGGCATAGATGCTCATTATTTATTACTCTTTTCATTATTAGGAGAGCACCTTCTATTAAGAAAGTTGCCTGGGCTTATATTTTAGGCTTCAATTTATTTAGCCGAGGAATGATTGGAGAGATGGAGATAAATCCAATCAAGGTCTCATGATTTTGTCGTTTGAGGCATACTAATGGGTCTAATCTGCCAACACCAAATACCTTTAAACTATAATATCTAAGGAATCTTATTAACTACAGATAAGAGTTACCTACTCTAAAGTACCTTGAGCTGACCAGGGTTAAACTATGTGTCGAAACATGCTTTTGAGTTTGACGTTGATTCATTTACTAGCTAAAAGTTTATCTGACGCTGGAGCTTACGGATCGCGGTACTGTTTCGCTTTTGAGTTTGACGTTGATTCATTTACTAGCTAAAAGTTTATCTGACGCTGGAGCTTACGGATCGCGGTACTGTTTCGCTTTTGAGTTTGACGTTGATTCATTTACTAGCTAAAAGTTTATCTGACGCTGGAGCTTACGGATCGCGGTACTGTAGCAGCTACAATACCGCGGTCTAGCCCCTTCACCCCTTTTCCTATTTGATGCCCTACCTTGTCTAGCCCTTCCTTTTCCTATTTGATTCCCTACCTTGTCTACCTCCTTCTTTTTCCATCACCTTTATATTTCTATTTCCTACCTATTCTAACTACTATTCCTCATTATATCGGTGTTGTTTGCTTTGATTTGGGTCAGTTTTAGTCTTTCTGATTTCAGATATCTGTCCAGTTTACCGTTGGTGGTTGTTTTTTCTTCTAGGGATTTATCCGAAAGTGAGAAGGTGCTCTGTCTGTAACTTGTCTGAAGTTGTTATCTTCTCCAACGGTTCGAGGGGTGCTTCGGCTGTAACTCAATCCCGAGGGGATAGTTATCCTTCCATATTCTCCTTCACCTGCTTTCTGCCATACCCCCTATGCCCTAACCTTCCTGTATTCCGCTGCCGTCTAGCCCTCCAGGCTCCTTCTAGCCACCGCACAGGCCTTCTGACCACTCTTCCTGCCGTTGTTTGTGCTTCCAGCCGCCTTCCAACAGCTCCATTGGCCTTCCGGTCCTGTTCCTGTTGCCGCCAGCCCCCCAAGGCCAGTTCTTGCTGCCACTAAAGAGTTACCTACTCTAAAGTACCTTGAGCTGACCAGGGTTAAACTATGTGTCGAAACATGCTTTTGAGTTTGACGTTGATTCATTTACTAGCTAAAAGTTTATCTGACGCTGGAGCTTACGGATCGCGGTACTGTTTCGCTTTTGAGTTTGACGTTGATTCATTTACTAGCTAAAAGTTTATCTGACGCTGGAGCTTACGGATCGCGCCCGACCCACCAGCACTGCCGTCGCTTCTTTCCTTCCATTCCAGGTTTGCCACCCTCCTCTAGGGAGCCATTTATGTGTTTTGTGTTGTTTTCTTTCTTATTTGCAGCGTCGTCGTTGTTATTGTTTTTTACATGCTTGTGTTGTTTTATGTTAAAAATTCGTCATCACTGTTGAATTCAGCAATAAATTTATCGCTCAGCCGTGGTTTGAGTTATCTCCAGTATCATTATCCTAATAGTTTTCATTGAATAGTTCTGAGGCAGAAAGCATCATCACTTGTTCTGTGGTACTAGGCATGATTAATAAGAGCTTAGAAGCATGTCATAACTATTCAGTATCTATAAGTTTTGGTTTGACTTGAAAACGCTTGTGTAAGACACGGGGTAATTTATTGACAAGTTTGATTTAGATTGACGGTGTTGTTAGCATGAGTACTAGCGTAGGTTTTGCACTTTGGGTTGTGGTTTACGTTAAGATTTGATTTATAGCTTTGTTCGCTTTATGCTTGGTAAGAAGCAACAAACATTTTGCTGTGCTTTGAAGTTGCAACTGTATCGGTATACTTGATTTTGGGTTGCTTGAGGAGATAGGTTCAGTTTTTCTTCTTTTCTTTTTATTTGTGTGTTATGCGGCTTTGACATGATCATTGAACAGGCAACCTAATTGACTAGCTTGTTCAACCACAAATTTCATATGTATTGGCTTGATTGAATGTTTACTGGCTGGTTTCCAAAAAGAGAACCTATGGGTTTTTTATTTTGTGCCCGGCTTTAGAAGACGTTGATTCTAGTATGGCATTTTCTTTCAAGATATGAACTTGCAGGAACTTATTTGCTATATTCAATGCATAAAGTCCTCATTTTTTATTTTTAAAATTAAGAATAATAATGTTGAAAGAAGCATGTAGGCGCATGAATGGTATTGATGATAGGATGGATAGGGATGGGAGTAAGTAGGGATGTAAATGAGCCAATGCACTTGAGGATCAACTTGAACTTGTCTCGATTAATACTCGATTATGTTTGTTTAAATTAATAAATAAATATGTTTGAATATTTTTTTAAAACTTGAAGGCTAAATGAACAAAATTTGAACATTGTTCAACTCATTTATTGTGTTCACAAACAAAATCGTTTGATGTTCAATAAGTAACTTAATAATTGCTCTATACTTAACATGATATATTATTTAAATAAAATTTTATTAATTAGAACTTATTTAATAATAATATTTAATGATAGGTGTTTATAATTTAATATTAATATGCATATAAATTTAATGTATTTTCTTCTTATTATTTTATTTCAATAAACTAATTTGCTAGTACTTATTTATATTATTTGTTTGCAAGAAAACTTTCTTACAACTTATGCATTATGAACAAGTTAAATGCTAATTTAAAATTTATTCAATTGATTATTTATTTAGATTTGTAAAATCATTAGTTAATAACTTTAGATAAAAAATCAAGTATTTATTCGAAATTTTAGTTAATTACTAGCTTTATGTGAAAAAATCAAATACAAATCAAAATTTTAAAATTTATATAAAAAATAATTCATTATTCAAATTTTTAGGTTGTTCAATTAATATCAACAAACAAGTACAAATCAATTATGAACATATATGTGAAAGCTCAGCTCAAAGCTCGAACCGAGCATGAACTTATGATTTGAGCAAGTCAATTCCAATCCATGACATACTCGACTCAACTCAACTCAACTTGATTACAACTCTAGAAGTTATGAGTATGTTAGCAGCAGGTTTGAAGGCTGGAATAGACAGGATTCAACCTGTAGTGCTAGAACCAACCTTAAATATGGCTATGCTTAAGCCTCATTTTCATGTTCTTAGTGATCATGCTTTTATGCGTACGTTCTTTTCAACGTGAATGCGTGTGTGCACACGCGCACTTTTATGCATACTGTTGTGTTGAACTGTTTACAATGAAAGTGTGTGCGTCTGTTCCTTTGTGCAAATTATGTCATACTAGATGTATTCCTTTGCATACGTTTAATTATTATCATATCCTCTCTTGTTTTCCTCCTTTAGATATGCAGGATTATCCTTCAACTTCTTACTGTGGCGCTAGGAATTCTCAATCAGAGAAGCTTGAAGTATGCCATAAACGTCATAAGCCGTCTACTTCAAAGCTAGAAGTATCTACATCTGATTGTGATGTTTTATCTGCAACAGAAAAATCTGTTTGCCTTGCATCTACTTCATATAATACCACATTACACTGTTCGAAAGCAGTAAGCTGCAGAAGTACCTTTGATTCGAAATTACATGCAAATCCTCAAGCTCCTAATGACTGGATTTCGATACAGTCAATTGATTCTAGAGAAATTTCCCATGGACATTCCAAGAGAATTCAAATCTCTAACAATGGTGTGGGTGACTGTACTAGCGACCATGATGATCCGTTTGAATTTGATGAAGATAACATGGGACTATCAAAGTGGGAACAATTTTCATTAAGAAAAGGAAAAACTCAAACTAGAAAAAAAGCTTTCTTAGCTGAAGAGTATGCCAATGGATACGAGCTTGTAGTCATCGAGGATGAATCAAGTCAGCCTACTCGTGAAGCCAACATACAATCCAGTGATAAATCATGTCCATCGGTAGATCAAAAGGTTTCTATTTTTCTGGAGGACTGTCTTCTTACTTCAGTGAAGGTTATTTTACAATCTTTGTATTTTGCTATGCGCCTTATGGGCAGAAATATAGCGCATATCTTATCAACATGCTCTTATTCGCTCACTGGTTTTAGCCTTCATATTAGCTCTTCGAACTTGCTGATGCCCTAGAAGCAGCCAAGTATTTTTTATTTTCAGTAAAATATTACTTGTTTGATATCTACACTTAAAAACCGGAAAAACAAAATGATTTTGGAGTTCTGATGTACCAGTTTCATAGATTTGCAACTTCACAAAAGGAAAAGGACACAATTACTTGGTTAACAAATATCCGGTTGTTTGGTCTGTTATCTTCAGGTCGTGGCTATTCAGATTCCAGGTTACCAAATATAGCTTCTATCTTCTATATACATTCCAACTAGGCTGATTGAAAATTAGGCTGCAACTATTTTGATGGTTAAAAAAAATGAAAAATAAAGGTTGGAGTCATTATTGGTGATGCTATACAGAGCCATATGGTTTTATTTATTAGCGGATATCTTGGTCGGAGTTCAGTTTAATCAATTTTCCAGTTATTTATATGTTCGTAGGACATGGAAGTCATTTCGCCAGTTATCTATGTTATTTGAGTTAATTTATTTTGGATATGATGATCACCATTTCTGTTTCCTGAAAAAATATGGAATTCTGCTGAACGGGTATGCTAACATAAATCCTCTGCAGCTTTAGCAATATATTCTGCCTCTGTTGACTGATTTATGCTGTTATATGGTTTATGTTGGCATAATATTTAAACTAATAATTCATGTTGTTTCTTTTGTTCGAATATACTTGACCACAAAGTTTTCTTTTCAAGAGAAAGTAAACTTCCGGTATAACTTATTGTCTGCCTAATCTTACTAATTCTTGTTATAATTTTATGACTATATAATTTCATCGTTCAAAAATCTACGTGGATTTGCCAATTCTCTTATTTTCAGCACTTGTTGGCAGGTGCTTATGAACTTAACGAACAATAACCTTGTTGGCTGTCAACAAATTGGAGCCTGTGGAGGTCTGGATACTTTGGCTTCCTTGATTGCTAGTCATTTCCCAAAATATGACTTGTTTATACCTACGGACACTGAAATTGAAGAGAGTATGACTTTCTTCAACAGAAGCAAAGTTTCTGGTCGTATTAATGATAGAAATCTAAATGATCATGAATTGGATTTTCTGGTCGCTATTCTGGGTTTGCTTGTGAACCTTGTTGAGAAAGATAGTTTAAACAGGTTAACTTTGCATGCCTAAGGTCCTCTTTACTTTTCTTCTTTTACTTATCAACTTAGATTACACGAAATACAGTCAAAATTACTCTTTTCAGTTCTATGGCGATCAGAAGACTTGCAACTGCTTATAATTTTTTTTGGACTCTTGTGATAAGTGAAACGAGGTTAGGTAGTAGACGGTTGCAGAGAATATTACATGGATTTAGCGATATGCTGGTTGGGCTTAATTAGGATGGATTTAAGTTCATTATTGTACAATTGCTTTTTTTCTTAATTGTTTCCGGTCTATATCCGTTCACTTGATAAATGGGTAGCTAGGCTGCATTTGAAAACAAACTTATTGTTATTATCATTCCCATTCGATAAATAGAATGGATGTCAATGGGTGAATACCAATATGAGAAAAAAGAAGAAAGTGAAGAGTTTAACGAATCATTTATTTAGCTAAATTCTGCAGGTGGAAGTTGCGTCGGATCATTATTGCAAATCACTGATTCTAGAAGTGTTCATGATGCGGATGTCCCTCCCGCTCCCGCTCTAGCTCGCGCTCCTGATCCCGTTCTCGCTCGTAGGTGAATCTGAGACACACGAACCACTCTAGGAGGGATAGGCTAAAGTTGTTCCAGCCTCCTCCATGGGCTTTTTGGGCACCATAGGGGTTTGTTATTTACCTTATTAGGGTTTTTTTTTTTTTTGAGGTTTGGAATAGAGCAGCTCAATCTCATTGATAGAAGGAGGGCATTTAAATCCAATTACAATAAACATAGGAAAGGAAAGAAATAAAACAGGATAAAACAACTAGTAGAAAAATAAAACAAAACAAAACCAATTAGGAAATACATAATAAGGGAATAAAAACTAGTGATAAGTAATAACGACTAGGGATTGTCGTTATAAATCTAATACTCTCCCTCAAGTTGAAACATAAATATCAGACATGTTCAACATAGATTTGAAGTCATCGAACAAAAGACGAGGAAGATTCTTGGTGAGGATGTCCGCTAGTTGACCACTAGAGGACACATATGAAACACAAATTTTCATGAACTCAATTTTTTTCTTGATGAAGTGTCTGTCAATCTCCACATGTTTGTTATGATCATGCTGGACTGGATTGGGAGCAATCCTGATTACGACCTTATTATCACAAAATAGATGTAGCAGGACGGAGGTTGGCGTATTAAGTTCGCGACGTATGATGCGTAACTAGAAAACTTCACATATTCCCAAGGACATGGACCAAAATTTAGCTTCAGCATTGCTTCGGCCAACCACAAATTGTTTTTTGCTTTTCCAAGTGACATGATTGTCATATACAAATGAACAATACCCTGAGGTGGAACGTCGATCATGAACTGATCTGATCCAATCAGCATCTGTATAAACAATAATAGACTGAGAGATCTGACGAAAAAAACAAACCTTAGCCTGATGTTTCTTTCAAATAGTGGATAGCTTGGAGATTTTTCTTATAGGGTTTATGCATAAATTGCATCACTATACCAACAGTGTGATGTATTATGGGGCGAGTATGAGCGAGGAGATGAGTTTTCACATAGGATGCTGGTAAGGAGTTTTGTTGACAAACACAACATTGTGAATTTCAGATATTTTTCATTCAGATCCATAGGAATAGTAGCAGCTTTGCACAAATAATATTTTTCTCTGTTAAGAGATCAATCACATATTTACATTGAGACAAAAAAATATTTTGAGATGACTAAGACACTTTCATGACTAAGAAATACCGAGGAGATCCCAAGTTCTTCATTTTGAAGGATGTGGCAAGAATGTCTTTTAAGGACTCCAATGCTAGGAGATCGTTACCTGTAAGAACAATATCGTCAACATAAATATTAAGGATAACTACATGGCCATTGGAGGAATTTCAGAAGAAAAGAGTGTGATCCAATTAAGCCCGAGTAAAACCATGACTAACAATCACCTTTGTGAACTTACTGAACCAGGCCCTTGGGGACTGCTTTAGCCCATAGAGGGACTTTCGTAGCATGCACACTTGTCCTCTGGAGGTAGTAGAATCAAAGCTAGGAGGGAGAGACATATACACCTCTTCTGTAAGCTTTCTATTTAAGAATATATTCTTGACATCTAGTTGAAATAAAAATCAATCCAGATTTACTGTGACAACAAGACCCGAATAATGTTTTAACTTAACCTCCGGAGCAAATGTCTCATCATATTCAACTCCTTAGGTCTGTGAGTACTCTTTGGCCACCAATCGTGCGTTGTTGCATTCAAAGGGCTTGTTAGAGTTGAACTTGGTGCTGAAAATCCAACGACACCCTACAACCTTCTTACCCCGAGGAAAGTCCACAACGTCCCATATTTGGCTTCGCTGGAGGGCATTCATCTTGTCCATTACTTTCGTTTTCCAGGTTGGGGTAGCAAGAGAAACCTCAATGGTAGCTGGGGTCTGATGATCCGTCAGGGCAGTAGAAAATGCTCTATACGTTGGCGATAAACTGTGAAAAGAGACATATTTTGCCATAAAATAGAGGGAGCATTTCTGATTGCATACCTTATTTGGAGAACTCACCTCATTCGAAGGAGGGGTCGTGCTGAGGATGTCGCCCAGAGTTGAGTCAAGCTCCTGTAAGGAGGTAGCGAGCTTCAGAATCAGAGCATTGGGACGAGTGCGTCGAGTGTAAACACGAATAGTGGGAGAAGGAGATGGTACACTCAACGAAATAGGGGGCTCCTTAGTGAGACGAACAATGGAGGGAACATTCAGAGAAGTAGGATAAGGGACACCATCAGGAAACTCAAGCTTCCACTCACTTGAGGTCGAACTAGAAAGTTGGGGAACACTTTCAAAGAATGAGACATCAACACTCACATAGTTTTTGTTGGTGGTCGGATCAAGACACTGATACCTCTTTTGAGTTGCGGAGTACCCTAGGAAGATACATTTTGTAGATCTGGATTCAATTTTACTCCAAGTAAGGGCACTGTTCCGACAAAGACAGTGCACCCAAAAATCTTGAGATCTAATGTGGAGAAAACCTGATTGGCATGGAAGCTTGACATCAGGACGATTAAGGAGGTTCGAAACTTGTGAGTTTTAGAGGGAACTTTATTTATGTGGTAGGTGGTAGTTAGAATAGAATTATTCTAAAATCTTTTAGGGATATTGGATTGAAACATAATGAAACGAGCAACATCGAGAATGTGGCGATTTTTTCTCTCGGCTATCCCATTTTATTGAGTGTCCGTGTAAGAACTATGGTGGTGGACCTGAATAAGAGTTAAAAATCTTACGGCCATTGTCGGTTCTAAGGACCTGAATAAGAGTTTTCAATTGAGTTCACACAAAGGTATAGAAGTATTGAAAGGTCACAACAACTTCCAATTTGTCTTTTAAAATATAGACTCATGTCATTTGAGTGTGGTACCAATTAAAATCAATAATCAAATTTTATTGGTATAGCTGGATGTGCAAGAAGATCCCCATATGTCACTGTGAATGAGGGAGAAAAGAGCGGAAGGTGTGTAACTGTGGGGTGGGTAATGTATCCGATGATGTTTGGATAACTGACACGTTTCATAATTGAAGTTAGAGAGATTTTTATTAGAAAATATCAAAGGATATAACTTTTTTAAATATTAAAAACTAGGATGACCCAAACGACCATGCAACAACATAATGAGACATTCAATAGCTCGAGATAGCTACAACTTTTGAGTGACGTGTCTTCACTCTCAGTGCTCTACTCTTGAAAGTATTAGAGTTTCACTTCTCTTTTAGCAGTTTCAATCATCTTCCCTGAACGACGATCCTGAAAAACACAATTATTAGAAAGGAAATTAGCAATGCAATCGATATCATTTGTCAACCTGACATATAACAAGTTACATTGCAATAAAGGAACTTGTAAAACAGACTCCAGAGTTAGACTAGTCGATAGTACAACTGACTCTTTACCAACAATGAAACTACATGATCCATCGGTAATTCAGACGGTATTTTTTCTAGAGCACGGATAATCAATCGAGAAAGCTTACGAGCAGTCAGTCATGTGATCCAGGGCACCCGAACCACTAATCCACAGACAAGAGGAGGAAACAACCGTGAGAGCCATATGAAGAGCACCTTGTCGGATGTTGAAGGCCGACAGACCCGTGAAAACTTGATTGGCTTCAAGAAGCTTGATCAATCGCTCCATCTGGTTTTTCGGGGATTTCAGGATGTTCCGGGTAGTAGTCGGTTGAGTCGTGGTAGGCTTGGCCGTCACTGTGAGACCCTTGGCAGCAGAGGATTTGGTTAAAGGTTTTAATGTCCGCTTGCCATGAAGTTTATAACACTTGTCCCGAGTGTGTTTAGGCTTGTGACAGTAATCACAAGTGGGGTGACCAGTTCGAGGTGCCATGGACAAAGGATGAACACTATTTGAGATCAAGGCGTACGATTCGGCTGAAGGAGTAGAAGTGTCGAGCATGAAAAGTTTCCTGCTTTCTTCCTAATGAATTTCAGTGAAATCAGTGCGAGCGGAAGGAAGAGGATCCCGATCAAGAATATGACATTGAACTTCGTCAAGGCCTTTGTTAAGGCCAGTCAAGAATTGAAACATGCAATCATTTTCTATAATCTTCTTGAAGAGGGATAAGTCGGTCGTAGAATCCCAAATGTAATCGTAGTTCATGTCGTATTTCATCCATAGCACAACAAAGTCATTATAGTACTGTGTTACTGTCCTTGACCTCTGTATTGCCTTCCGGATCTTCTTATATATCTCATCGAGTTGGCCAAAATTTCTTACATCCGAGTAGGTATCACGGATAGCCGTCCAGAGGACGCTAGCTGAAGGGGGAACATGTATGAATGACCAATTGAGGTCTCCATAGAGTTGATCAACACTGACATGACCATGGAGTTCTCCACTTCCCAAGATCCATATCTCAGCTTAGTCTTTGGAGGCTCACAAATCATACCTGTGAGGTGACCAAATTTCCATGAATTTAAAAAGGATCTCTCACAGCAATGCAGGCCAGCCTCTTGATCATTATTCTCTTGATTGTTTTAGTTTCTCATAGGACATTGCCCAATTTATCTTATACTCTAACATATCACCTCCACAGAGCATTGATTGCATCTTTGGATACTTTCTTTATACCCAAGTGTTGGCAGGTAGCTAAGGAGGATTCAAATTGGAATTTTGTCATGTTGGAGGAACTTGGTGCTCTTGAGAAGAACTGGGAATGGGAGCTCGCATTATTATTAACATGAAAAAAGTCAGTCGATTGTAAATGGGTCTTCACTGTGAAGTAGACCTCAGAAGGAAAGATTGATTTCTACAAAACAAGATTGGTGGCTAAAGGGTATAGTCAGACCTATGACATCAACTATGATGAGACATTTACACCGGTGACAAAGATGAGCAAAGTCAAGACACTCGTCTCTCTGACTGTGAATGGTGGATGGAGGTTACGCCAATTGAATGTGAAGAATGTGTTTCTTCATGAGGATCTATTGGAGGAAGTATACATGGAGATACCCACTGGCTTTGACACAAACTAAATAGTGGGAAATGCATCTAGACTGAGGAAATCCTTGTACGGTTTTAAACAGTCTCCTCGAGCTTGGTTTGACAGGTTTAGGAGAGCAATGATAGGAATGAGCTACAACAGATTAATGACGACCACACAATATTCTTTCGATAACATAGTTGTCACATTACTATTCTTGTTGTGTGCGTGTATGATATAATTGTCATTGATGATGGCGAGGGAGAGATTGCTTAGTTGAAGACAAGTTTGGGCAAAGAGTTTGAAGTGAAGGACCTAAGACAACTTAGATACTTCCTTGGAATTGAGGTTGCTCATGGAGCAGAAGAGATTGTTCTATCTCAAAAGAAGTATGGGCTAGACTTGCTTACAGAGATAAACATGTCCGGATGCAAGCCTTTAGCTTCACCAATTTATCAAACGTGAAAATTGAGCGCAAAGACAGGAGAGCGAGTTGATCCTGAGAGGAACCAGAGGTTGGTAGGCTGTCTCATTTATCTGAGTCACACTTGTCCCGACATATCATTTGCAGTAAGTGCAACACATGCTTGATCTGAGAAGGGCCAAATGGATACAGTGTTTTAGATTCTGAGTTACCTGAAGAGTGCACCAGGGAAGTGGTTGGTATTCATAAAAAATGGATATTTAGACATTGAGGGCTACTGTGACTCTGATTGGGCTAGCTGTGCTAATAACAGGAGATCTATATCAGGATATTGCATGTTTATAGGGGGCAACTTTGCCCCTTGAAAGAGAAAAAAACAATCGGTAGTTGCGAGGTCGATGACAAAGGCATAGTACATGGCCATGGCCTTAGGAGTTGCCGAGATGTTTTGACTGAGAGCTCTTTTGGCAGAGCTCAAGGTGGATCAAGTAGCTCAAATGCAGTTGTGGTGTGACAAAAAGTCAGTAATCAACATTGCCAGCAACCCGGTGCGGCACAACAGAACCAAGCACGTTGAGATTGATCGGTTCTTCATCAAGGAGAAGCTAAACAGTGGACTACTGGAGATAAGTCATGTAGCTACTAGAGAGCAAGTAGTTGATTGCCTTACCAAGGGACTTAGCTTATTAGATCTATCTAGGTTGTGTGATGGACTCGGTGGATATCTTTTGCCTATCTTGTGAGGGGTTGTTGAGAATTCTATATAGTTTAGGATCCTATTTATAAATAGGAAATATAGATGATATCAAGGAATTTATTTGTTAAGAAAGTTGTAAGGCTTTATAAAAGCTCAAGTCTTTAATGAATGAATGAGATTTAAGAGCAGTTATTTCAATTCACTCAGCAGTGGCAGTGAGGCTTAAGCCTCGAGTTTTTTTTTTTTGTGCACCTCAGTTTGAGATGTGCTTCGAGTCTTAAGCCTTGAATGCCTTTTATGTTTGCCTAAACTTTGCATACGTCATGCCAGGCAGATAATCCTCTTATTGAGAGAGTTGACACGTGTTTCTTTGATTATTCAAGTCTTTGATTTTCGATTTTTTTCTCCGGATAACAAATTCTTTCCTTCTTCCAAGTTTTATTTCTGTTCTCTGGAGAATATGCAAGTATAACATAAACCATTTGTGTAAAGCAAATTCTTAATCAAATTTACATGTCACATTTTATTTTTCTACAGACTGCGGCTAGCCTCTGCCCGTGTTTTAGTGACTCCGCCGGGAACATCAACAAGCATGGAAGCTTACAGGGATGTAGTACCTTTGCTATGCTCCATTTTTATGTCTAATCAAGGAGCTGGGAATGCTGCTAAAGAGGAAGAGGTTTTAGCTTATACTAGAGTTTTTTGATGAGTTTATCTTTAATATTTATCGATTTACTGTTTTTTTGGTTGCAATGAAATGTTTATTTTGATGTATCCATGCCTTAAACTTTGATACAACAATATCTAGAGGTGCCTTAGATACGCTTATTTACTCTGACTGAGTGATTTTGGATTTTTGACAGGATGATGAGGCGTCTTTGTTGCAAAGTCAGCGTGAGGCTGAAATGATGATCATTGAGGCTTATACAGCTCTACTGCTCGCATTCCTCTCCACCGAAAGGTTTTCCTTTTGATTTCATGGGGGGTCAATTTACATATATACCCCACAATTCTCATGCATTACATATCTAACACCTGATTTTGTTTATGGCAAATTTACATACATACCACACAATTCTTATGTATTTACATATCTAACACCTAAAGTTTGCTATTTGTATTTATAACACTTTGGTGTTATAAATTTATGCATGAAAACGTGTATTTCACTTTTAAAATGTTAGTAAGAGTGATATTTTTGATGTGATGTTAAAAATTTATGTGTTATGCTTGTACATAGAAAAGTTTAGATGTTAAGGGGGTGTTTGGTACCGCATTATTAACAAGATTTATCCATCGGATTTACTAAATCCAGCCAAACATAAAAAAGCACAAGTACTATGGATTTATGAACTTTCGGATTTAAGGTCCCAAATTTGTCATGTTAAATCCGGATTTAACAAATCCAGCAAGTGGGTGGATTTAATAAATCTGGATTTACTAAATCCTACTAATGCTAAATCTTTCCTGCAGCTAAACACGACCTAATTATGTAAATATATAAGAATTATGTGGTATGTATGTAAATATCCCTTCTTTATTTACTTTTATAACACCATGGTGTCATGAACTTCTGCATGAAAAGCTGCATTTCACTTTTTAAGTTAATAAAAATGATCTTTTTTATGCGACGTTAATGATTAGATTGTTATGTGCGTAAATATGAAAGTAGAAGTGTTAAATATGTAAATACATAAGAATTGTGTGGCGAAATGTGAAAACCATATTGATGTGGTGTTTTATTTGCTCCTTGCAGTACCACAGTGAAAGAAACGATAGCCCGCTGCCTTCCCAATCACAGATTAGAAATTCTTGTTCCTGTGTTGGAGAGATTTGTGGTAAGATTTTTTTGATGGATAACGTCATATTTAGGGAAAAAAATTACGTACGTCAATCGTACGCAGAGATGTGTGCGTAATAGGGTACACGGGCGTTATACGGGAGTTACATGAGGGTTACAAGCGTGTTATAACTTTCTTGTAACTTTCGTGTAACTCACTTGTAACTCGCGCTTGTAACCCCGCTTTTATTTTATCCATTGGGGTTACAAGATTACAGCGGGGTTACACGGGAGTTACACATGAGGTACAACGGGGTTATAACCCCTTGTAATCCCCGTGTAACCCCTGTGTAACCCCCGAATACCATTTTACGTACGTAACAAGCGCACGCAATTTTTTTCCCATATTTAGGCACATAAAACATCGAAATCTTTCCTATTTGCAAAACTAACATTCAAGTCATTTCTCTTAAACTATTGCATCTTTATGTTTTATGCAAAGTCATGATCCTGATTTTTATCCTCTCAACTGATTAGAGATATTTACGCAGATAACATCATTATAATTTTTAATTTTTATTTACAAAAGTAACGTCTAAAAAGTGCATATTGGATTTTATTGTGAATTTGAAAATTAGATAGAGGGTGTTTATTTTATAAATAGTCAAAATGTGAATGTCATGTATGAAATTGCCCTAATTGCTTGTAATTAAGATAATGCTCTCCTATGCTTTGCCAGGCATTTCATCTGAATTTGAATATGATATCGCCTGAAACACATTCAGCAGTTGTTAAGGTGATCGAATCTTGTAAAGAGCCATAAGAGAAAGGGCGACTTCGCTGCTTCAACACGAATGCTGCATTTCTTTTATTTTTTATTTTTTTAATTTTTTAAAAATTTTTAAATTTGCATTTATACCCTTGAGCAGGAGCGTATTTTTTGTCGGGACACCTGACGTAGCTCTACGTGCCCCTTAGATTATTCCTGAGTTATTTTCAAGTTATTTCTGGGTTATTTTCAATAATCCTAAAATAACTCAAAAATAATTAGATAATTTTAGGATTATTGAAAATAACCCAGAAATAACATGAAAATAACTCAGGAATAAAGTCCGCGGCACGTAAAGCTACATAAAATTAGGCCTTGAGCAGGTGTTTAAATTGTGTAATCCAATAGCATTAAAAGGTGAGGTTTTCCATCTGAAGTGGAGTAAATGCTATAAAAGATATGCATTGATTTATTGTAAATTAATTCATTTGTAGGGATGTTGATGAGTTTGCATTTTACATGTGGGAATTGAAGTCATACGTAGAATAAATTCTTATTGATGACAGTTTTTCGTACATCACAATTCTTATGCATTTACACATCTAAAACCATAAGTTTGATATTTACATTTATAATTTATGTATATATA